AACTTTGCGATCGATTTCCGGCACCAAGACGACATTTTTTGAAAAAATACGAAAAAGAACCCCCCCCCCCTAAAAAAAAATCACGTTTCTATTCAACCATGATGAAAGAAGGAAATAAAACCACCGTGAAAGGTCCATAATGCCCCTAGATCAGAATATGCAAAAAAAATGCAAAATGAATTCACAAGAGGCTCAAAACACAAACGATAAGGTTTTGTCCGGACACGACCATGCACACAAACGTAACTTACCTATTTGGACGTGCTACAATGGTCCATGACTTAAAAATACTACCGATACAAAATCCGACCCCTCAACGGGCAAAAAGGCAAAAATGGAACTTGGAATGAAAACTCGGAATCCAAAAATACAAAACGGGATCAAATGACCGTTTGGCTCTTGGCCACACTTCAAACATGATTTATGAGACCCTATGAAAGAATGAGAATGGAATTCCCACACCCAATGCAACCATGGTGAAGCAATGACTTGCGATTTTTCAAGATTTTCACAATATTTCATGAAGTTAAAAAAATATAATGGTCATTGGCCTCTGGCCTCATCTCATACATATCAAATACATTGAAAGGAGTGTACTTAAGTACACATTACATACATGGAATCAAATATACATATTTTGACATATAAGTCTACAAAATGGCATTTCATGCTAACATTTGCATGAAATGGAAACATGAAAGCTACACCACATCCAAGGAATGCTAGGCATCACGAACCAAGTCTTCGCACCTGAAATATGCCCCAGTATCGTAGGGGTGAGTAACGTAAAGTTACTCGTAGGAGATGAGCATGCATCGACCAAGCATTTTACAAATTTATCACCTTAAGGTGAAACATGTTAAAGGGGCTCATGCCACCTAACGTCTATGTCCAAGTGAGACTCAAGGAGCATCCTAAGCTACCTTAGAGATTAAGCAACAAGAATCATGATATACATACGTGTATGAAACGAATCATGGTTGGGATAATCCAAAGAACACGACAAGAAGAATGCTTGAGCATAGATTAACATGAATTGCATTTTCAATACAATTGAACTAGGTTTAGAGTAATCCGTACAATATCACAAAAGCATATTTGGATACAAGTTAACAAGAATCACATTATCCATGCAATTCAACAACAAAAGAGCATGTTATACAATGCAACAAGGTTTAAGTTCTCAAAGCCATCAACTTAGAATCTAAAGCACAAAATAACAGTAATGGTTCATGCCGCCTAACGTCTATGTTATAAATGAATCAATAGGATCAATCCTAAGCTTTATTAGAACGTCAGAATACGATTTTCAATATCAATGCAATTTAACCAACATTGGAACTTCCAATACAACGCATAAAGTACAATTTCGCAAAGTTAACATCTTGTAACTTAAAATGAAACGACAAATAAGAAACAACAAGTTACAACATCATCTAGTTATGAACTTGAAAATGAAATGCGAAGTCAAACAAAGTGGATACTCGGATGTCACGCCGGATCAGACCGACAACATAGTTACTTTAGGGTTACTAGCCCATGGGTAACCTCCCTATGTGCGCACTAGACCATATAGAGGGACTATCCCCCATACTAGAACCACGTCCTAGCCATAGTCAAACAACAACATCCCCAAGTTTCTAAAATTAACAAGTTGTGCAATAACGCATATATCAACAGGAATATGCAAGATAATCAACTATCTACTAAGCACAACCAAATTTGGAAACCTATACAATACATGCTCTAAATCCACAACTAATATGATATGATGAATGTCGAATTTTCAGTGTGCGATTCGTTACACGCTATGCATGAAAGATGTTAAACACGAAGTGTGCAAATCATTACACAAAGCAACAATATATTCAATAAGGATTTCATATTATCACGAATACAAACATAGCAACTATGTTATCCAATGTTCAAAACATAACCAAATGAATATACAACAAGTTTAAATCCATGATTTGAATATAAAAACCACTTCTAAAACACAACTAGATCATGGAGCAAATTGATAGAATTTAAATAGATAAACACAATTAAATTCTCTAGATTCCGATTCAATTCCAAATAACCTCAATTTAATACATGTTAAAGGATATGGCATGGTCATACCTATATCTATTCTAAAACTCAATTAGGTTGTTGGAACAACAAAGTAGAACTTTAATTAAATCATGCTAATTTAATTACCAAGGTTCTAAAACAACTTCTAATAGTCCTAAATTAATGTATACTAGTAAATAAGTCATGGCTAATACAAATATCAAGTTAAAACCTTAATTAAGCTAATGGGACCACAAAATAGATTTTAATTAATTCTTTTAATTAAAATCTCTTGATTTTCAAACTTAACCAAATGCTCTCAAATTAACCTATGTTAGAAAACATGCCAAGGACTAATGTAATATCACATTACAAGTTTATTTCATTCAATTTATGACCATGCGAATTAAACCTTCACTAAAGTTAAATATAAAACAAAAGTTGCAATTCTCATACAATAAATCCCAATTTAATACATGTGAACAACCATACCAAAACTTAATTTTCTAGCATGCCACAATACAATTCCAAGTTGTATATCACCATGAGGATTAAATCTTAAACATGGAATTTAATTAAATAAAAGGTTTCAAAACCTAACCGAATATTCTAAATCAAATATATGTGAAACTATATGGCATGTAAATCAAGAATATTAAGTCGGAATTTAAATAGAGTGAATAGTGCACTCGGGGTAAATTAATTAATCAAATTAATTAATAATTACTAATTTTCAAAACACCTCCAATCACTTTCAAATTCAACTATGTTGGAGAGCATGCTAAGGCCTAATTTAATATGCTAACACATAATGATTTTAAGCTAGTTAAGGCCATGTGAATTAATCTTTCACCTAAGATAAATATTAAATAAAATCTTTAATACTTATTCAAATATTCCAATTTTAATACACGACAATGAGCATATCAAAGGGCAATATAAAATTATGCTACATGTTTAAACCAAGTCATGAGCAATCGGGAAAATTAGATCCCGTACAAGAAAAAATAAATAATAAAATCTCTAGATTTTTTATTTAATCATGCAAACAAGTAGTATAAGCATCACAAGCATGCTATATAACAAGAATTTAAACCTAGAACATCCCCTACCTCAATTTGAGATGAAAATCCCAAAGGCCCACCAAAATGGAACGGCTCCAAATCTTACGAAACTACTAGGTTTTGTCGGGGACAACGCCGTGAACATAACCCCCACGAAAGCCCCATCAAAATCATAACTTGACCTCAAAACCAAACTCAAGAAATGGTCAAAACTGAATTCTAATAAGGGGGAAAGGTAGAGCACGGCGAGGGGAATAACAAACGTTAAGGCCGAAGACTTTCTATCAAGGAAAAGTGAACCAAAAGAGGAGAGAGAAGATGGCAGCACCCCTTGTGCTGCCATGGGAGCTCCAGGTCGTGCATGAAGAGGGGAGAAGATGAAAAATGAAATATCTCACCCCCCTTTTATAGAAATCTCAAAAAGTGCCCCGAACGGGCCCCGTCGGGTCCGAAAAAGTAAAATTTGAGCAGACGCGCTCAAATGGTAAAAATTTGTGAACGAAAAAGATTCAAAATGATAAAATATGAATAACAGAAGAAAAAGGCGTCAAAAACTGAGTCCCGAGCAAAAAGTTTTGCCCCGAACAAGTTCGGCGACAACCGGGTCCAGAAACTCTGAAACTGGAGAAAAACGACCAGAATGGAATTTTATGAATTTACGAGCCAACAAAAAGTGAAAATGAATCTTGTACAAGGATCCATGCTCCAGACGAGATATTTTACAATAACTTTCGTTAATTGCACAATGGCCCCTACAAAAAGGGTTAACTGCGAAACTGCCCCAGAATGAAAATATCTTCCAAAAGATATTTTCTTAAATGCCCCTGAAATCAAATATCTTTAAAAGATATTTACGAAAAACACCCCAAGAAATGAAAATGATTCTAAAGAATTGCGCATCGATATCCCTATGGACACCGGGAGCAACCAGAGTACTTTATTAAAAAAGTGAAGATACGTATTTCGTGGAAACCACTCAAGATGGAGATCCATGAAGTCAAAAACCAACTCTGAACACAAGAAGTGTGGTTGCGTCAACAAAGTGTCAAACGGGGAAAAGACAAAATAGGGAAAATGACGAAAAGTAAATAGTGTCGAAAAACGAAAAATGTGAAAATGACTCAGTCCTCAAATGAAATTGTCAATCTACGGAAAAGAGTCTCAAGAACCAATTCCGAGCACTCGAGATGACACTAAGCGACACGAAACAGAGCTCAGAGAAGAAAATTAAATGAAAAAATTTCATTCGTAAAATTTTAGGAAAAAAGAAAGGAAGGCAACTAGGTGGTTACAATATAATTATTGCATTGTTCCTTTTGAAAATTACAAAGTTACTCTTTCAAGTTTAAATATATATATAATCAAGTTTGAAATTTTTTAAAATTTTAAGGATATTTTATAGAAAGATACTAAATATGTTATTTAAATTTGGTAAGTGAATAAATATTTTTGAACAATCTAAAAAAAAAAAAAAAAAATGGACAACTATAATGAAACGGAGGATAATATGCAGTATATATCATAGGGCTAATATTCATGTTCAAATATCTTAAGTTCTTAACAACTATACTATGGATCACTTCACTTCGTTGGACTAGACAATGGTACAAAACCGTCTAAAATTTCTAATCAACCTTCTAAACTGAAAAAAAATAAAAAAATGAATTTAATAATTCTAACCCATGATTGACGCGTATGTATTTTCAAGTCAAGTCAATTGCCAATTTAAACGAAAATAAATAAATAAATAACTAAATAAAAATTCATAATTTCAGGCAATGATTGTGTGACGCGTAAGCATTTCGCGTTCGATATTTTGTATCAAGTCAACCACCAATATCGTGGAGTCAATAAGCAATACTCCGTATATTATATATATATATATACACGCTATGTATCTGTTTTTCTGTAGATCCCCTTCCCTTTTGGTTTTTTGTTTTTTTTTCTAGAAATCCAATCGAGGTCGTGGTACCAGTGCGGAGAGAGAGAGAGAGAGAGAGCGGTGGACTAATCAGATCAGACGTGGTAAATTTTGTGGGTAAAGGTTGAGAATGGCGGAGGACAAATACAACCTGAAGAATCCAGCGGTGAAGAGGATTCTGCAGGAGGTGAAGGAGATGCAATCAAACCCTTCCGATGATTTCATGAGCCTCCCTCTCGAGGTTCCTTTCTAAACCCTAACTTTTCCTTCTCCTACAATTCCATTCACTCTCTCCTTTTATGGTTTTGATTCACGATCTCTGGTTATCCATTTTTGTTATAATGATGAATCGAGTTATGAAAATTTGGGCCTGAATTAGACGCAGAGATTAGCATTAGGTTTTTTGGATTTGATCGTTGAATTTCAATTTGTTGTAGTTAAATATCTGCATTTTATCTTTGAAATTCCTGAAACGTCCCTTGAAGGGGTTTTTTATTCATCAATTTATGAGATCTGATAATAGTTATGTTGAGTTGGAAGTAAATTTGAATCAGGTGTTATTTACTTTTCTAATGTCCTAGGTTTTGATATATATATTTTTTTTCATGTCTCTCGTTTGATAATAAAGCTTATTGTGATGTTGTAATTCAGCTTTTTAAGTCTACATTTTCATCAGAGCAATGGGTTACTTATCCCAAGAAAAAAAAAAATAACACTAAAATTTTTGTAACCTATTTATTCATTAATTTGAAACGTATGCATTTGCTAGAATAGTTACTGAAAGCCATTTTTTTTTTCCAATACAAAGTACATAAATGTGACCTCATCATGCCCATTTTCACATTTAGCTATTTCCTAGGAAGCACAGACATGAAGACAAAGCAATACGACACATCTTAAAAAGTATAGGACAAGAAATGGCACATGTGATTTGCTTTTGAAGCATTATGTTAGTTTTTCATTTAGTTATACATCATGTGGAAGAATGTTAAATGACTAGGAAATAACATCTTAAATTAATGTTGAATGACTAGGAAATAACATCTTAAATGAATGTTGAATGACTGGGAAACAACATCTTCTTAAGTAAGGCTGACTAAGATATTTTGTTAAGGTGAATGAGTAAAAATAAATGGGAAAAAATTTTCGGTTTGGGAAAACTAAAACAGTGGTCTGAGCAGTTGGTAAAGTTATGACCTGCTACAGTTACAGCATAGTAATGTCGGAAGAACACTATTGTTAGGAGAGGAAGGTTGAAGAGGTTGCATATGTTGTTATGAGATTTAAGTTCTCCGTTAGACTATTGTTAGAAGGATGATGATGATGATGTTGACGACAATAACTATTGTTAGGAGGAGGACTTACCCAAACGTGTCTATATATATAATTATATACACACAAAAACATGCACATATATACAAATATGCAGATGTATATTTGTATTTTAATTTAGATTTTGATAAAAGCAATGCCATCAATTTTCTTATGCACCATGTAAAAGTATTAAGCTTATTTATTGTATTGTCAGGAGAATATATTCGAATGGCAATTTGCAATCAGGGGACCCAGTGATACTGAGTTTGAGGGTGGTGTCTATCATGGACGAATCCAGTTGCCTGCTGAATACCCATTCAAGCCTCCATCATTTATGCTGTTAACAGTAATTTCTCATTTTCTTGTAGAGGCTCCCATATGTATCTGTATAACTGTTGGAAGATATCTTTATTTTCTTGATATTGGAGCTCACGGTCTTATTTTTCATCTAAATTGCATTGTTATGATATAATAACCTAGTTTTGTTACTCTTGTTTCAGCCAACTGGTCGTTTTGAAACCCAAACCAAGATATGTTTAAGCATATCAAATCACCATCCTGAGCACTGGCAGCCATCATGGAGTGGTAAATTTCATTTTCCTTGACACCTTTAAGCTGTTAGTACAGCAAAGATCTATCCATAAGTTATATATACATATATGGATGTTGGTTGTTTCTATGGCTATCTAGTCTGTGATATTGATGTCATGTAAGTAACCAAAATTGTTCTTGCGATTGTGTTTTTATGTAGATTGATAGTTGAGATTATATGGCTATGACATAATCTGTAATCTCACAAATGCATGAATTGTGTGCACACATAAAAAATACTTGGCAAATGGGCTTACTTTTAGGTTCATCCTTGGAAATCAATTTTCATTTTGATTAGGGGTGGTTATGCTTTCCCAGCCAAGTTGCCTTGGTCAAAACTCCATTTGAGCTTGATTTTGATTTATAGTTGCAAAATGCCAAGCTTCTCCTCAAACAGTCTATGCTAGCTAAACTTTAATCTTTGGTCCAGCCGATGAAAGAGTGGGCCAGCATGATGCTGCCATGGTTTTCTATTGTAGTATCGGTTGTGGTCTGGGTAGTTGCAATGTTGGAAGTGAGCTTTGTGCAATTGCGGCCCGAAATATTGCCTATGATCTTATTTTGTGCATCGTAATTCATTTTTTGACAAAAATTATCTTTATTTATGAAATTTTAGTACTTTTTTTGTATGAATTAATGAAAATAGATATGAAAAATTATTTTTTTTTGCAATATTTAGTCAATTAGGTATGTTCACACTTGTATATATACAAATATTTTGTATTAGTGTGCATATCTGAAATTACTTTTACTGTATGAGTGTTACGAACTTACATCCTAGCACGTTTATTACCTTATGCCTAATAACTCTAATTGATTTAAGTTCTGGATAATCATTAAGAAACTGAGTCCACTGGAAGTTATGGATAAAGTGCAAGTCCCTGAGTATTCCCATAAAAGTAGTGTGTTAGTTATATATTTTCTAAATTAATAGATGATCAACAATATTAAAAAAAAAAAAAAATCAATATGAATTTGCATATGATTAATTTTTACTTGCGCACACTCCCCCAAATGCCCACTACGGGGCTTAAACCCCCACCTCCCCTTGAGGGAGGAGAAGTTACACCAGCTGGGCTAATGGATCAGTGGTTTGTTCTAGACATTCTAACCTTAAAAAAATTACCTTTTTATTTTCAAAACCATAGTTCCAAGACTTTGGATCCTCGATCTTAAGATTGATTTTTGGTTGTCATTTAAAAAATGTAGGTCAAGGTGGGAGGAGACCAATCTCTCTAAAAAATATGCATTTGAGAATAAAGTATGGTTGAACCTCTAAAATCAATGCTATTGTTACTTTTTGGTGTTAATTTATATTTGTATTTATTGGCCTAATGGCAATCTTAAAAGCAGGGATTGTGTGTATCAGCATTGTGCTATGATAGGTGCACTCTGTCCGAAAGAGTTCCCTGCTACATCAATCTGGGGAAGATGGGCAGTTGTGTTTCATTCCTTCTATTGAAAATTTCAATAATCATCATCTCCACATTTCTCTCTTATTTTTTCTGTTGAACTTTCAAAATAATAATAATAATATAATAATAATAATAATAATCTTAAAAGATCAAGTTAATGTGGACTGATGATTATCAATACTGGAGAAGTGTTATTGTTGTGTATTGATGCATATCTAGGTAGATTTTGGACCATGACGAGTACATCTGTGGTGTTGTTAATTGGACAGCAGACATGATGTAGTGTTCATGTATTGATTTTTCATATTGTGTATAGTGTTGCTGGATCTTTTAAAGGCAGAAAGGCTCATGTTCTGAGGCTGTGGAACAGATTGTTCCTTTCAGCTGCATCGTGATGGCTGGCTCTGTCTTTCTAACAAATCATAATGTTTCCTCATTTGTGTATAGATTAACGTGTTTAAGTTTTATGTTGTAAATTTGCTCATTATGATAAAATTTTAAACCAAGTTAATTTATGTGGATGTTGGCAGTGAGGACTGCTTTAGTAGCACTAATTGCATTTATGCCCACCAACCCAAATGGTGCTTTGGGCTCATTAGACTATAAGAAAGAAGAAAGGCGTGCTCTGGCAATTAAGTCTCGTGAAGCTGCCCCAAAATTTGGCACCCCTGAACGTCAAAAAGTGATTGATGAGGTATGTTGGGCCTAAATTATCCTTTTGGTCAGACATTTTACATGTAAGACATCAGACTCATTATCTGTTGTCATTGCACAGATCCACGAATACATGTTAAGCAAGGCACCACCTGTCCCTCAACTCAGCCCCTCTCAGGCTCCCGAAGAACAGTCTACCAACAAAGAGTATGAAACCCAAGTGAATCCTCAAAATGCTGTTGGGGAAGAGCTTTCAAATGCAGCGGTAGGTGACAGGATTGTTGAAGAACCACATGAAGCTCCTTTGAACGCGAATCCTGAACCTGAGGGATTGAGGGTACCAAGACGGGTTCCTGTTGGACATTCAGTTGAGCCACTACTGCATAGGCAGGAACCAATGGTTCAGAAGCCATCTGATGATCGCATGTTTACGTTGGCTGCAGTTGGACTTACCATTGCTATAGCAGTTCTTCTGTTGAAGAAGTTTATGAAAGCTAGTGGACATGGTGCTTTTTTCATGGATGGATCCTAGATATGGTGGTCGTTACTGCCAGTTCAGGCGGCACATGTGGCTCGAACAAATATTCAATTTTCCACAAAATGTGAACAATTTGTGTATAGTATGCCTCATGCTTCACCTATTGATGACAATGGCAATACATTGTAATGTATTCGTGAGCATGATTATTCAATTTCAGCCTGTGTTTGTGTGGGTGGTTTTGTATATGGTAACAAATAATGTACTCTGCACTTTATTTTGAACTCAGGACTGGAATTCAAATACAAAGGAGCTTCAATCCTTAGCTTTAATGATTTATCATCTATCTCTCCAAAAGGGCAGTTGAGGATTCAAGATCCAGTGAGAGCGTGTGTCATGTGTGAGTGTAAATTTATCTATCGAAAAATAAAATAAAAATCATGACCCTCTATTTCAAATTGTCTAGGATTCAATTCTTACCCCTGAAAAGGGGAAGAATATAAAATATTTTTAGTTTAATTGATTGGGTATCTTTAAGAAAGACGATGCTAACTACGTGTATATGTTTGTGGGTGTGGAGGAGGTAGGGATTGATCTACATGCCATATACAATAGCGGATCCAATATATTCTGGGGTGGGCTAGTACTATTAATATTTATTTTTATTATTTTTATTTTTATTTTTTGAGATTGGGTTAAAATTACCTACCCAATCCCCTTTGGATCCGCCCTGGCCATATAACAGTAACAATTTATCAGAAACTTAGCTTCATATGCATAATGATATTTTTCTCATATAGAGTTGATATTTGTTAAATATGTTTCAAGAACCAAGTCACATTGAGCGAAAGCTAGAATGCGCGTGTAGAAGAATGGCGTGAATTGGCTAAAGAATACTACTAGTATAAAAGAGGTTGCAGATCTTTCATATAGTACAAAGCTTCCTTTTCTCAACACCCTATATTTATATTTCTCCTCATACAAAGGACAGCAAACAAAAATAATAGAAAATTGGTGACACGAAACAAAACAAGAAAATGTACAATCTCCGAGCTAGATTCAAACCTAAAATGCGTGAAGAAATGAGACTAGAGGAGTGATCACTTGATCAAGCTAACAATGGCAAGGCAATTGCTAACCATATTATCCAGTTTTTGAGCAGCAATAGGCAACAGGGAACTCATTCCAGAGTACTCGTCTTCACAATCCCCAAGGTCCGTTATGGCAGCGCTAAGCATGGTGTTCACGGTGCCAATGTCACGAGCAGGGACCGCGTCCAATGCAGTGTAGATGTTTTCTAAAGCGTCGTCATAACTATCCTTACAGCAGTCCAGGGCAGAGCGCGGAGCAGGACACCTAGAAGTGGTGGCCAGCCTTTCTAAGGCGGAGAGAGCCAACTTTGTATGTTCTACACTAGCCTTTATCGCCATCTCAAGCACGGACAGAGGGTCGTTCCTGCCATTCACGTAGGGCTTGATTGAGGAGAGGCAAAGAAGAGGGTAGTCAGTTGAGTGACATATATTCATGATGGCCTCATCGGTTATAGGGAGTAAAGAAGCGACATGGACAGAGTCACGAGGGACAGAGTCTGACACTCGGTTTAAGACCGAAGGAACTGCATGTGGTGATGGATTTGAGAATGAAGAAGGGAATGCATGTGACGGCGGAGTTTGTGAAGGTACCGACTTTGAGACTGAAGGAACTGCATGTGGTGATGGATTTGAGAATGAAGGAGGGACTGCATGTGGTGATGGATTTGAGAATGAAGGAGGGACTGCATGTGGTGATGGAGTTTGTGAAGGTACCAGCTTTGAAACTAAAGGAACTGCCGGTGGTGATGGATTTGAGAATGGAGGGACTGCATGTGATGACGGAGTTTGTGAAGGTACCGAATGCAGTGCCGGGGAAGGTACAGGTTGCAAATTCCGAGGATTATTGTGAGATTGTGAAGGTACCGAATGCAGTGCCGGGGAAGGTACAGGTTGCAAATTCTGAGGATTGTTGTGAGATGGGAAGTAACACCGGTCTGTCAAATTGCGGTCCACGCAATAGGCTTTTGCAGAGTTGAGGACAATGAGAGAGAAGAAGGAAATGGAAAGCAGCCTGTGATAACCAGAAGAGACCATTTTGTTATTGTAGAATCAGAAAGAGTAAGAGGAAAATGAGAATGAGAATTAACAAAGGTGGTGAAAAAGAAGAGCTTGTCAGTTAGGAGGGAATTGATCAGTTACCATTCAAGCAGGCAAAGATCCTTGAAAACAGGATGAGAAGCTAGCCATTGCTTAGCATCGGGCTTGGCCTTGGCACACGGAACTCGATTATGGTCTGAATTTATTTTCTCATAGCACCATTAGAAGCATGGCCTGCAATAGACCATTTCATTAGATGCCTTCTTTAAGAAACACGTGGAGAAGCACATGGAGTGTGAGAAGGGCACCTGATTAGAAAAATTATGTAACCAATATGCTAACCATGTCATAAGCTTCATTTTGACAAGAAATATTTAAATCATATATCCATGTCATAACGAGAAATATTTAAATCGCACTCCAATTTAGATTTTAGACTCTCCGATTAGAGAAAGTGAACCCACAAAATTATAATAATATATTACAAAGAAACCTGAACATTAGTTTTAACTGGACCACCAAGTGACACATGGCCATCATTTGTCCAATTTGTAAGGAGATTTGTGTGCATACATTGTCTTCACCTAAAAATCAGGTACAAAATACATGTTTGGTTGATTCCATCTCAGAAATGGTATGCCCATTGGGTTCGCTGCACTTCAGCTTTTCAATGTAAAATATAAGTAGTTAAGCAGCAGAATGTCCACATTTGCAACACTAAATAAGCAATAAACAACAAAATAAAGTGAAAAAAAAGAAAAAAAAAAAAAAAAAAGAAGGCATATTCCATCAATGTGGTTTTCAAAGCAAAGAATGTTTAATCCACCTCCAGATCCTGCAATGGCGTTTGTCAACCAATTATGTCTAGTCACATAAGGAAAAATAGATTTACTTTAATGGGTCCCTATCACTACATATCAGCATTCCATCAGTCAATGATGCCATGTCATCAATATTCTAAGAGCATTAAAGTATTTTTCCTCTTAAAGGAGGACATATCAAGCCATGTCTACACTCATCACTGTCCAAACATATTGACATTCATAATGCTCAGAACTCCACTGTGCAAAAACGAGGAACAAAGTCGCGAAACCTAACAGCGATCAACATCTTCAGAAGAGACTGATACATCATGTAAGTGTTTAGAATTCCCAACAACGTGATACGCACTTGCAACAGAAACCATAATTGCTTCTCAGAAATTTGAGCAAGTTCAACAACAAAGTTTGTTCCTTTATCAACCAGAAAACACATGTTGATGTGTTTCGTTTATATAAAATACACAGAAGTACACAAACTCCAGCAATCCGTACAAGAAACCACTTCACATCAAGTTTAAGTCGCAAACAGGAAAATTTTATTTGACATAGATCCATTGTAAACTCCATGTGAATTAGGAGTTCCACAAGTACGGAGATATTCCAGTTCGGCCAGATACTCACCATTGTGCTGCTATTCATTCTCCGCATTCTTCACAACAGTAACCGGACAAGAAGCATTATTCACCACATAGTTGCTAACACTGCCCAAAATAGCCCTGCAAAAACAAAATAAAAAAATTCAAAATCAATCAATCATACCTAATGGCACCCAGTAAAGGGCTCAATTATTGTCCTCTTGACACCCTGAGACAAGTGCTTCACTTTTAAACTCTTGACCCTTTGAATATTAAACCATACCATAAAAGTTGAAGTTACATCATGATGCATAAGGATGTGTGTAACTTTAACTTTTACATCTTCGAAAACACCCCCTCACACGTGGCCTCTTTTGGTCTAAACATATGCTTTTAATTTTATCAGGTAATAGTGAGGTTTGAACTCGAAATCATTCAGCTTTGATCAGGCACAGATCTAGTGAAGACCTAGTGGGGGCAATTGCCCCCACTCAAATTTATTTCATAATTACTCAGATAAATTTATTTAGCCTATTTTAACTCAACACTCGAGTGGCTATGTTGACAACATAACTCTCAAGTCTCAAACCACATGTATTTGAAACCTATCCTGGAAGGTTGGGATATATATATATATATATATTATCTGCTAGAACAAGCAGAAACTCCCACCTCAAACGAGTAATGACCACGTGATGACAATAATAGTAAACAATAACCAAGTTACAATGCAAACTAAAACTAACTGGTAGCTCAACAGAAGTGAACCCACCTCTCTTGGCCATGACTTTGAGTTTCATCTTCCCAACACCCATAGCTCAACAAGATCAGACCCTTTTAAACTAGTGATCCAATCATGGCTACAAAGCTTATCCAACATCCAATCCCAGCTTCCCAACTGGTCCAATCAACACCCAATATCACCCAGTATACCTACCATTTTTTTTCCCTGAATTCTATACCTATAAAATTTTAAAATTGCACCCACTGACTGAAATTGCAAAAAAAATTCCACTATTACCCCCACCTCATTGTTTGAATTTTTTTATCTTCTTGTTAAAGGTCCACCCCCTCTCACATAATTTTCCAGGTCCGCTCCTGGCTTTTATACCATGTTAACCACCATACACACTAATATAAGCTTAAATTGTTAAAGAGGGTGTAGCTCTAGTTTTTATATCCAGTCTCTACAACATAGAATCGGTCTAGCAATGAAAAAGCCACCCGAAACAATGGTTTCATCCAAGGGAATGTTTCAAATATAATCACCATGCAGTAGCTCGTGTGGTAGTTCCTTTAGGAGGTGGAGAGTTCAAATACCAAATGGGAAAAAGTAGGGGTGTGTGCGTCTTACCTATCCCCACAAAAATAAATAAATAATGTTGCAATAAAAACATACAGATCTAAACAAAATCAGAAACATAATATAAGCAAAAGCCAAAACACTAAATTGACAATTATGAAAAAAAAAAAAAAAAAAAACACACACACACACAAAATTGACTATATGTGACAAAGTGAGACTTAAAGGCGAATTCGGAAAGAATTGAACCTCTTGATCTTGCCAAGTCCTCTGTTCCCTATGACAAGGCAGGTGAGAGGGATGTTATCAATTGCTTCGCATATCTTCTCCCGAGCATCTCCCCAATAGATCTTCATGACCACCACAATCTGCTCACAGACACACACGCACAATAGCGGGTTTACTAAGTTGATAGAGAATTTCAAAATTCTTCAAGAATTTCAAAGTCATGCATTAAAAGGTGAAAATTACATCTTTCTGCCGGGCAGCAAGACTGGCAATCTCCAGTGTTTCAGGGTCAGGCTTCACCCCATATTTCTTCGTGACAGCGGGGTCAGCGAACTCAAGCAAAGGAATTAGAGCTGTCAAAAATGAACCAAACACATGGATAGAATTAAATACAGAGAAGAGAAAACACAAACCCAAGAAATTTATTTTTTACAAAAAAAAAAAATGTCCTACGTAGTACCTTTATCCTGAATTTCTGAATTAAAAACAAAATTTTCTATCCTATTGGATTAAAAACAGAGATAATAATATGGGTTAACCGCAAATCAAAAGCTGAGAAGTCTTAGACCTTAGGCTCATGATTTTACAATAAAATCTTCATTTTGATATGAGATGAGCTAAATTACATATTTTTATATCATTATAGACTAATTTATCGACAGAATTTGCATAAGATATTAGTAGATTTAATGCTAATTTATCCTCCTAATTCCTTGAAAGTAGCATCCCAAGCATATAGATAATTAGAACATCATTCATATGTTGTTTAAATTTATAATTGTGAAATTGTAAAACAAGTTTGACTATGGAGATTAAGAAAACCCCAGTGCTCACTCTTGCAGCAACACTTCGCAAGTCTACAAAATGACCAATTTGTCCTTTTCATTACAGCAAAAACCGAGCTGATTCTGGGATAAACTCGTCATAATAAAAATCACCTAGAAGAAAATTAAACAGTATAGAGGTACACACAAGCTTAAAAAAACCAGTAAACACATAGATATGTTGTTTTAATTTATTGTGAAATTGCAAACAACAAGTTTGTCTATGGAGATCAAGAAAAACCCAGTGCTCACAGTCACTGTAGCAACACTTCACAAGACTACAAAATGACCAATTTGCCCTTCCCATTACAGTAAAAACTGAATTGATTTGGGGATAAACTCTTCATAATAACAATCACCGATTCACCGATGAACTTAAAACGGTTTACAAGGGTACACACAAAGCTTAAAACTTTAAAAGGGTAAAACAAGAAGTTTGTCTATGGAGATCAAGAAAAACACCGTGCTCACCCAACACTTCACAATACTACAAAATGACCAATTTGCCCTTTTCGTCACAGCAAAAACCGAGTTGATCCGGGGATAATCTCGTCATAATAACAATCACCCAGAAGATATAAAAAGGTTTAGAAGGTACACACAAGCTTAAAAGGGTAAAACCAGACACTAATCACATAGATATGTACAAATATATGTATATAATTATATATATGTGTGTGTTAAAGAGAAAGAGAAGAATGAATCAAGTATATATACGTGTGCCGGTGGTTTTCCAAAGCAGCATCTCTCCGTCATCGGGATCTCCTTCGGGGCGAGCGATAACGAGGATTAGGTAATCCCCGGTGCGGACAATGTTATCCACCGCCCATTTCAGAGCTTTCTTGCTGCATGGAGAGAAATCAATTGCAACACCCACCCTCCTATCTTCTCCTTCCATCCTCTCTCTCTAGAACTCTCAATTTCTCTCTCTAAATGCCTCTGAGCGTACAAGAGTCAACTAGACTAACCAGAACCGCAGTTGGTGTGTAGATAGAGAGAGGGGCAATAATAATTGTCCCTTCATGTGACCTGTCTTCGTCCTTGTCGGTATCCCTGCTCTAGCAGCCCCCGAATTAATTCTCAATTTACCCAATAAATTTTTTTTAAGGGTATTTCCGTAATTATGAAAATGCACCACCAACTTTCACAATAATGAGCTAAACAAAGTCCGGGCTCAGCTGGTCCGGTCTTATATTTCTTCCCAGGTCACCAATTCGAGTTTTTGCAAGATCATTGGAGGTCTACACGGTCATTAACTTGAGGGTATTATGAAATTAATCGAAATACACGTAAGCTGACGTGAACAAAAAATAATAATAATAAAAAATTTCATCGTTTATTTTTTGTTGTTTTTGGTTTAATAATATGGTACTATAATTAATGAAATATTATACAAGTATTAAGGGTTTTTCTCATATGAATGAGGTAATGAGGTATACCATGTCTTTTTTAAAATTTAAATTTTCAAAATTCCTTTTAATTACTCTTTTTCATGTAAATTTCGTCCACTTTTTTTTGTCATTTACCAATATTACCATCTAATCATATATATAATCATATATGTGACACAATTTTATTATATCATCTTTGACTGTAATAAAAAAAAATTTGTCCATTTTATCTTTGGTTGACTTCAGTCTATTTTAATTTTTAGCATCATAACTGTCATTATATGTGGTCAGTATTGTCATTTAGATAAATAATTATTTCATCTTCTAACATGCGCAACATTTAGTTTAGTTTACCATGAATGTGACTCCCAAAATATTTCAAGAAGACGGAAGAGATGAGATGACACTAGAGATTACGAGAGCAAATAAAAGATTTCAAATATAAAAATATTTGTTTGAAGTATGCATGTCACTTCATTACGTGAATATCTACATCATGGTTGTAGTTGCGTAACCGTTATTGATTATGGTAACGATCGCGATCGCGTTGTATCTAATTTAAACAAATATCGATATAAATCGATCGAATCAGACGATTATTAAAAAGTGTATAACAGTATCCAAAGATGGAGCCGGCATACGTCCAGAGGACATATGCCCCCTGACCTAGCCCGGCCCCGCCCTATATAATATGTATAAATTTTTACAATTATTTTTACGTGTGTATATATATATATATATATATAGGAATTTGTATATTATGTTTTCAAAATTCTCTTAACTTTTTTTTTTCCTCATTTAATTATTTAAATTTGTCAGTCATTTTTTCTTTTTCTATTACTTCTTCTATTTAATAAACTTTTTCGTTTAAGGATTCTTTTTTTTTCGGTGCGTGCTTCCTGAATTTAAATCTTGACTCTATCCGAATGGTATCATATTATTAAAAAATAATTACGAACCCGATGTTACGTCTGATACAATAAATCATGATTTACACATGAAAGTAATATTGATACAGACATTTTTGTAAACAAAAATCATTTCTCTCTCTCCCTCTGGTGTTAGAAACAAAGTGTGAAACTGTGCTCTCTTCACTTTCGAAGCTAAAGTTATAAGTGGTGGATAACGGAAGTCAAATTATACACTCGTTAATCAGCTTGAAAATTCTGTAACAAGTGGTTGTTATTATTACAACTTTGACCTTTGATTTTCTTATTCTAGAAGGTTTATTTTTTTATTAGTTTAAATCGGCTAAGAATTAATTTTTTTTTTTTTTAATTGACAAAAAATTTACAGACTCATTTATTTGTGGTGAGGACTTCAAATCTCACATCTCACAAAGTTACTTCAAATTTCTCAATAACTAATCATCATAACTCCCGATTCAGCAACAGTTTGATGATGGCTAACTTATTTAAATAACCCAAGTCAAACGTTACGTCTTTTTCTGGTCCCTATTTTTAACAAATTCGATTAAGATTGGGGAGAAAAAGTTGGATGTTCCCGCATCCTTTTTTTTCTTTTTTCTTTTTTATTTTTTATAATTGACTAACATAAGAAATTATTTGCAGAGCATTAGGTGTAGGTATAGCAAGTGGGTAATAGTATATGGTAAAAAAGTTCAATGAATAATATAAGAAATTATTTGCAGACCATTTGGTGGAGCAAGTGGGTAATAGTATATGGTAAAAGAGTTCATTGAATAACGCAAGAAATTACTTGCAGACCATTAGCTGACGATGTTTGATATCAATAGGGAGTTGCGGCCATTCTCTTCGAGTTTGCTTTCTCATGTCTGGTGATCTGATAATCGGGTGGCTCAAGTCTTTGTTGAAAAAATAAAAATAAAAATAAAAATAAAAATAAAAAAATGCTTTTTTTTCAATATATTGACTTTTGAGTGTTTTGTTGAAATGCAAGGAAATACAAATTGGTAAAATAACCAACATATTTAATGTTTTGCTGCCTTAAGATCATAGCAGCATTAGTAAGAATTCGAAAAGTAAGTACTTGAGGTCTCGCTTTCAAACTGTATTAACTTAGATGATGCGTATGTTATGAGGCCGATATACGTGTTCTAAAAAAAAAAAAAAAATGTTTTGCTCTAACTAGGGGGTCAATAAATTTATGTGACACAAAACAATAATGTTCTATTATTTATTTTCTGAAAAATACAAATGATTGTTTTATGAAATCAAACCTTTGTTTATCTCAATTTTAAGAGGGTGACTTTTAAAAATATTGTCAACCAAAACTAAGTTTCTATTTATTTTTTTTTAATTTTTATTTTATTTCTGTTAATTGAAAATAGAAAATTGTGAGAGAATTTAATCAAACAAGTTTTAAGAATTTTTTTTAATTATTATTATTATAATGACAAAAAGGGTTGCCTAGGTTATTTTTGAATGTTGTTGTTATTTCTACACTCCGTTCAAAAATATAAAACTTACAAACACTTTAATAAAAATTATATAGTAATAAGTATGGTCGAACCACACACCTTAGTGAAATTTCATTATGAGACTCAAATTGATTTGAAACATTAATTTTTGGGATGAGAAACTAATTTTAAAACAAAATTTGATTTTTGTCTAATACAAATAAAAATTACTACTAAATAAATCTTATCAAGTAATGGGAAAAAAATCTCTAAGGGGTGAGAATCCACCACCACTAACCATATAAATAATTGTTTATTTTTCTTATATAAATTCTTATCCAATAAATAAAACACTCGATCACTCCAATTGAAAAGATGCAGGGAAAATATGATATTAAATAACTAGGGGAAAAAAAAAAAGACATTAAACTTGGTTATTTATGAGAGATGTTCTTATAAAATCTTTATGACTAACTCTTGTAAGAAAATAAATAGTGGTAGGCATTTTCTGAATTATCATTATTTGGCAAACACGAACAATTTTTCCTTTATTTTTTTTAAAAAAATAAATAGTGATAGACATTCCAAATTACTATTATTCGACAACACGAATAATCTTCCCTCTATTTTTTGGCCTCCAACATTAATGGTGAGCTTTTTTTGTCATTGAAATTCATAAAAAAATACTCTCGAGATAAATATTTATACAATAAATAAAAGACATTTACTTCTAGCCCTTTGAGAAGCACTATAAAGACTAGCATTCCTTTCCTATACCCCAAATAATAGCAATAATAAGGTTTATAAGAGAGTGATTTTCAAAATTTTTGTCAACCAAAAATAACTTTCTACTTTTTTTAATTTATGTTAATTGATAATAGAAAATTGTGAGAGAATTGAATCAAACAAGTTTTAAGATTTTATTATTTATTAGTATTATTAGTATTATTATTGGAGAAAAATAGTTGCCTAAGTGACTGATGTGTATTTTTAGATGTTGTTGTTTTTACACTCTGCACAAAAATATAAAATTTGTAAACACTTCACTAAAAATTGTATAATAATAACTAGACTCAAATTCAAAACAATAATTTTTGGATTGAAAAACTAATTTTAAAACCAATTTTGATTTTTGTCACTAATGAAATAAATACAAATTACTACAAAATAAATTTGATCAAAGTAATGGGAAAAAAATGTGAGATATATATTTTATAATTGGCTAATTTCGTTGTCAAAATAAGTCCGATCGATTTGTAATTTTTTGATTCGAAATTTCAAAGATTGAAGATCGAATGCGGATTTGAAGAAGTTTAAGTGTTCATGATATACTACACTCCGAGATGATGAGAACAATGCTCTAAGAGGTTTTGAGAGGTAGTGAGAACATTTATGAAGGGTTTTGAAAGGTTTTAAATAAGATTTTACATTATATCCTTCTTGAACTGGTTCATGATTTATCGAACAGGTTCAACATCAGTAGAATTGCCAAAGTTTCAAGACTGGCCATCTTGAACCGGTTCAAGGGGCTTGAACCGGTTCAAGGGGGTTGAACCAGTTCAAGAATCACGTAAATTCTTTGCTGGTCATCTTGAACCGGTTCAGCCCCTTTAAACCTGTTCAAGTAGTCCTGGCAGCATCAGGTTTCCAGTTACCTTGTCTGATTGTTTCCTTTTTTATCCCAACTTTTTTCCAAGTCCTATACACGAAATTTTTTATATTTTCTGAGGGATTAGGACTTTATAAACTCTATATAAACCTTGTTAGTCTTCTAGGTTTATTCATGGCTTTAGAGAAAATCAATTCTATATTTTGAGAAAGCCTTTTAGAGAGAGAAAATTTATAAAATCAAATCTGATTATTCTGAATTTATTTTTGATAGCACACATACATATTCATGAGTGATTTAGTAGTGTTGTTCTCTATCTCAGCGGAATTGGTGCTATATTGAAGATTCAGATATTCCAAATGAAAAACATGATTTAATTCTTCTACATCGAGTTCAGATCTTGAAAAACAGAAATAAAAGCGATCATACTTTGAAAGCATTAGAGCATTCGAGGAGTGTTGTCTGATCTACCTGCTACTCTTCTACAAAGATCAAGTATAAGCCTGAGGTTAAGTTGATGTTGGATGGGGAGTCGCAAAGCCAGATGATTGTCAGCAATTGGTGTTTGGTAGAACGATAGGGTATGAGCTAAAGTCAAAGTTTGGTGTA